ATAGAGCCTAAATATCTTCCAATACTAGAAGTGCGCTTAAAGCCCATTCTGTTAACAATCCTTGCAGTAACTTGAGTATCAGTATTCGGGGAAAAATAAATCAAAGATTTATTTGCACTAACACTTTGCCCCGACATCTCACAAAAGAGATTAATACAATCCATAATCACCTTAGCTTGCTCCTTATCTGCTTGCGCAAAGAGAATGATATCATCTGCAAATAAAAGGTGGGATACACTCGGCCCTCTTCTGCAGACTCTAATAGGCTTCCACGAACCCATAGTCACTTTTTCAGCGATACAAGTGGGAAAGCTTCTCAACACACAACACAAAAATATAAGGAGAGATTGGATCCCCTTGACGATTTCCTCTCTGAGGAACTATGCAATCCGAAGCCACACCATTTATCAAGACCCTCGAACGATTAGAAGTTATAGAAGCCATTATAACACCAATCATCCAATCAGGAAACTGAACTTCAATAAGCACTTTATAGATAAAACTCCAACTGAGTTTATCATAAGCTTTTTCAAGGTCCAGTTTGATTGCCATTGTACCTTTCTTTCCTTTTACTCTCCCCATAGAATGAACCAGCTCCTTTGCTACTACAATATTATCTTGAAGCTGACGATTTGGCACGAAGCTAGCTTGGTAAGGAGAAACTAAATTCTCCATTGTAAGCTTAAGCCTATCCACAATGATCTTGCTCATACCCTTATAAATGACATTACACAAAGAAATAGGCCTAAATTGAGAAACATACATTGGCTTAGGAACTTTGGGGATCAAAGTGATCAGAGTACCGTTGACTTCCTCAATGCTGGAAAGGTTTTCTGCATAATACTTGATATCTCTCCAAATCTGTTCACCAATAAATTCCCAGTTCATTTTGTAGAATGCCGCGGTATAGCCATCCTCCCTTGGAGCTTTCGAATCTTTCATAGAAAAGAAAGCTCGTCTGACTTCATCTTTTGAAATTGGAGCACCTAAGTTAACAGCAGTCTCATCGTCCACCTTTGGCCAAAGAGTCTGGACCCAAGGACGATCATGGTTTTCTTCAGAAAATAGTTTAGAGAAGTAAGCATTTATTACCCGTGCAATGTTGTGATCTTCTCTAATCAAGTTTCCAGCATCATCTTTCAACTCCAAGATCTTGCTCCTTCTACGTCTAACAATTGTTTTTGTATGATAGTACTTCATATTCCTATCTCCTTGAACTATCCAAGTAGCACGAGACTTTTCAAACCACAAAAACTCCTCCTGTTCTAAAACTTGTTCAAGTTCACCCCTTATCTTGCCTTCAATATTTTCCAAATGACTTTTATTCTGCTCAGAAATTGCCCTCTGGATACCTTCAAGCCTACCAATCAACCTGTTCTTCTTATGATGGATATTACCAAACACATCTTTATTCCACTGCTTAATAAGAGGAGTGAAATCACGAAGACTATCAACTGTTCTTTGATCCTGACGCCAATTTTCCTTGATGAAATTGTTAAAAAATTGATGATCCAACCAAAAAGAATGAAAACGGAAAGGGCGTTCCACCCCATCAACTTTGCTTGGCTCTAAGGTAATAAGGATAGGATTATGGTCACTGTTAATACGAGGAAGCACTCGAACCTGGCCTTCATGAAACATCAACCTCCATTCAGCATTGCTACAAGCTCGATCTAAACGTTTAAAGACTTTATCTAAATGAAGAAATCTTGGTCCTCGCCATGTAAATTTAGAACCTATTCCTTCAAGATCAATCATCTTTATATCAGTTAGAAGAGAAGCAAATTTATTACATCTGCTTGTATCAACTGGAGCACCACCACGTTTCTCACTTGGAAAGGCAATTTCATTAAAATCACCTGCAATTAACCAAGGAACCGAGATATCTTCTGATAACTGAAGTAAATCATCCCAAAGTCTCTTCCGAATTTCTTCTCTAGGACTTGCATAGATAACAGTATAAAGAAAAGCTTGATGATCTGCCAATGTAACACGAACATGAATAAATTGATGGGTTTGTTTTAATGCTTGAACCTAACACCTATCATTATTCCATAGTAACCAAAGACCTCCCGTAAATCCATGAGCATCCTCCACTATTGAATTATTAAAACCCAGCTTTTTTATTATCTGTTTTGCTTTTGAACCACTTACTCGAGGTTCATGAATAGCTGCCACCTCAATCTTATGCCTTCGAACCATCATTTGAAACGTTGATTTGAAGCATTTTTTAGCCGCCTCGCAGCAATTCCATGTAACTAAAGACATTAATCAATGGTAATTTGGCAGGATTGTGGGTCCACTGCCATCCCATTGTCATTGCACTGAGTTGCAGATTCTGAAATCATCTCCACCTCAATATTGAGCTTATGGTTTATGGGGATAGACTTTCCTTTATCTCTACTTGGATCAGGCACTTTTGGTTGGGACAAGCCATGATCTAAGCCGTTGATATTTTGACCATCCTTATCCACCTCCATTTGATAACAATCTTTGTTATAATCAGCAACAGTACTCCTAGCCACCATGGAATCTCCACCGCTTTTACCTCCAATGTCCTTACTATTATGAATCACAACTTGCCTCCTCAAGTTCGCTGTATTATTGTTTGAGGTACCTCTGTCAACTATCTTCCCATTTATTTGATTCTCTTTTCCATGACCTGCCGTAATCCCACTCAACGTAAATCGGTTGGGGTGTTCCTGTAATTCAACATTAGGACGACTTCTAGGGTTTCTGTGTTTGGACCCTTGAGATGTACTAATATCAATATTAACAGGAGGGCCCACCATATTGACGTCATTTATAACAACATCCGGATTAGTCGCTAGGATATCATGAGTAATATCATCTTCATTAGAGCCCATTAAAGCAGCTTAACGGGAATTTGATTGATTATCAATCATAACCCTGATTTGATTGCGGTTGATTACTCCCTTGATTACTCTCTTGATTATTCCCTTGATTACTCCCTTGATTACTCAGTTGATTACTCCCTTGATTACGCCTTGATTCCCTTCGAACCGGTTCCTGCTTCCTGTTGTCCGCCATTGGAGTTTGAATTCTTGATTGACGTTGACGTTGCACGACCATCCAAGGACCTAATCCATTTTTCTGAAACTCAGCCTCATCTTTTTTCCCGTCTTGATTTTGCTGATTATCCTTTCCTTCAACTGGTATCTCAAGACAACAATCTTTACTATGTCCATAGCGCCCACAATGGAAACAAATAAGGCCTAAACCTTCATATTCTATCTATTTAGTTGCTCTGTCCAACACATATTCACCCTTCAAAGGCTGAGCAAGATCTAGTTCCACGCAAATTCGAGCAAACTGTCCTCTTACATGCTCATTAGTTGTCCTATCGATCTTCAACATTTTACCTAGCCAGTTACCAATACGGCGGAAAAAGGCTTCATCATAATACTCCAGTGGGATACCCGGTAATCGAACCCAAGCTGCAATCTTCATCACACTTGCAGCATTTGGTCTAAAAGCTGGCTCCCAACGTCGGAGTGATAAATAATGGCCTAAAATAATCCAAGGACCACCATTTAGAGCAAAAAGAAGATCATCTTTGTTGCTAAATTGCACCACATAGAATCCATTACCTACATCTGTAACGTTAATCTTTCCAGCTCTAGCCTATAGTATTTCAATCTTCTTTTTCATGAAAGCCACTCCTGTATTCCTTCCAAGTAGTTTTACAATGAGAGCTTTTTCTCAAACCTTCAACATTCTTGTTCTTGCTTTTCTAGTACAACCAAAATGAGTTCTACCATCTTCCTCTGTCCACATTTTAATCCCACCATAATTCACATCCTCTTCCTCCGCAGGTGCACTTTGATCAACATTTTCTTCCAAATTCCAATCCATTCCTTCCCAGTCATCTGTTTCACCATTGTGTTGCATGAGCATCTCTCGCCAAGTCATCTTTTTATTACCGTCGTCAACCATCCAAGATTCATGTCTAGGAACCCTAGATTGTGATTCAGTAAACACCATATCTCCATCTTTACTGCTCTTATTACTCCTACGTAGTAGATCTTCTTCTTCTTTTGAAGTTTGGCCTTCAGTAGCTATATTTTCCTCCATGAAAAGGAAAACCCTAGCAGAGCGTTTTTTTTCAAATAGAGGTCTTTTTTCGATTTGTTAATATTAGAATGGTATAAAGCCCAACTAGTTTATCAAATAAATGCAGAAGCTAAACTCAATAAAATGTGGATAATTTTTTTTCATTCTTCATTAAATTGTAATCATTTCTTACATGTCAAGTTAATTGCATATTATATATGATTTGTTCAACTCTCTTACTTATAAATTACATATATGCTTACTTACACAATTCATAATCTATGTCTTACAAGAGAATGTCCTTTAGTTTAATGTGTCCTCTTAGCCATTGGTTACTCCATTATACCTACTTCATTCTTCATATTTAGACACGCCAAATTAAGGCATTACAATTCTTTTTAATATACATATTTTCTCTGCATAAATTCCTTTATGTCTTTGTTATAAAACATAAAGGAATTTATGCAGAGAAAATATGTATATCTTAGTTAATAAGAGTGATCCTAAAACTATTTCCAACTCGCCTGATGCTTTTTCGCCTCTGAGAACCCTAACGGTGCTGCGTTTGGTTTCCAGAGGCTGAAACCGAGTCACGAATCCTTTTCGGCTTCTTCTGCCTGAGGCGGTGCACGACTTTGGTTTTTGTTACACCATTCTTTTGCTGGAAAAGTTTTGTTTTTTGAGAGGAAATGACAAACCCTAACAGTGCGAACCTACCTGAGAGCTCGACGAAAATTTCTGCAGAAGAGGCAGACAATCTGAGGAGGAGTACAAAGAAGTACAAAAGGGGAGATGCTATTTTTAGTCATGATCAGACGATGGTTCCCAGAAAATAAGCATGGATGGAAGAAAGGATGTCCTTTAAAGAAATGCTTATGAGACATAATGGTGAATGGGAGATGCAAGAAGATGTTGAGAAAGATGTTTCAGAAGCAGAAGAGGAAGACATCAGGAAATCCAGTCAGGTGCAATTGTTTCACCGAAACCTCCTGAGGTCATTTTTCAAACCAATGAAGATGGCAGAACTAATTTTTGTTTGTCAGATGATTTTAAGAAGCGTGCATGGAGACCTTGGAAAAAGGCGATTTATGTGAAATTGTTAGGGAAGAAGACAGCGCTCCCTATAATGAAAAAAGGCTGGAAAATATATCGGCAAGAGAGGGACAGATTTTTGTCACTGATGTAGAGAATGGGTTCTTCTTTGCGAGGTTTTCGGAGGAGAAGGACCTGAGCTATGCTCTTACTGCAGGGTCGTGGGTGTTATTTGATCATTATTTAGCAATTAGGTCATGGGAGCCTGATTTTCATCCCTTTTCTGCCTCAATTAGTCGAATTATGGCGTGGGTCCGGCTTCCTAGCTTCCCAGTTGAATATATGAATACTGAGTTGATCAAGGAGGTGGGAAATTGGCTTGGAAAATTCATTAAAATGGATGCTGCGACGACTTGCCTAGCGAGAGGTAAGTTTGCTAGAATATGTGTTGAGTTGGATTTAAGTAAACCTTTGCAGGCTGATTATAAGATTGAGGGGAAATTAAAAAATGTTGAGTATGAGGGATTACATTTTGTTTGTTTTGCTTGTGGTAAATATGGTCATCGGACTGAGAATTGTCCTGCCAAAGCTGATATGATGGATGCAAATTCTGGGGATGTAAATTCGAAGAATGAAGAGGATGGGAGTCTATCTAATAGTGCGAGTACTCTTCCTAATAAAACTGATGAGAGATTTGGGCCCTAGATGCTGGTAAATAGACAGAAGAAATTCAACAGGAATGGCTTAAATCAAGGTGAGAAGAAGGAAGGTATGACATGCATGAATTTTTTGCGAAGGGAGAATAATGTGGAGTCTAGATTCAGTGTTTTACATCAGATTGAGGAAGCTGATGATATTGATGTCAATGAGAGGACTGTGCATTTTGGCAAAGAGAAGGATTCCAGAAGTAATCAGGAGAATCGGTACCCTGTTAAAGTTATTGAAACCTCTTCTAATTTTATGTTGATTGATGAAAATGGTAGTATAGTGGGTAAGGGAGCTGATAATTCAGGATTTTTAAGAAGTGAAGTTGCAGATGAGGTTGTTCAAAATACTACTTCGGGTCCTTCTAGTCTTATGGTATTGGATAATCAGTGTTTACAGAAGGATGATAGTATAGTTGTATACCAAGGAGGGAGTGGAAGTAAAAAGAGAGAGGTCTCTTCAATCCAAAGTAATAGATCATCTTTATTGGTTAGTAAGAATCCCCAACATGGAATTCAGATGCTTGATCAGTTAAAGATGCCAGCTCCTAAGCCTCCTGATGCTATTGCTGGCAGAAGAAAATGTCAAGATGGGAAAGGAAATATTGTTGCTACAAGCAGGAATCAACAGGTTTTAAATTCTGAATGAAAAGTTCAGCAGGTGCAATCTAAACCTGCCCATTCTCCTAAGAAGTTTTAATGTCTGTGATCTTCTGGAATTGTAGAGGAGCGGCTAAGTCTTGTTTAGGTCGTACTCTTAAATCAATGGTGGAGAGGAATAAGGCTTGTGTGGTTGTTCTTTTGGAGACCATAACTAGTAGTGTGATCAGTAGCAAGCTTTTGAAGAAGGTTAAGTTTGAAAAGGTATTTGTTGAGGAAGCTAATGGGTTTGCTGGTGGTATTTGGGTTCTTTGGGACTCTAGGAAAGTTACAATATAGTTAATAAGAAGTTCTTCTCAATTCATTCATATGAAGATTGATCTTGCTAGCAGTAAGAGTTTTTTATGTACTGCGGTTTATGCAAATCCCAATGAGGTTATTAGACATGCTATGTGGGAGGAAATCATGCAAATCAGTTCATCAGTTAATGAGCCTTGGATTGTGGGGGGTGACTTCAATGATATAAGGTGCAGCAATGTGACACGAGCTGTCGAACTCGAGCAAATTAATTAAATCAGGTTTATTAGAATTTTGTAGTAAAGCGTCAACCTCAACCTGAGTCGTCTCTCAAGGAGTTTGCAATGAACTTAATCGCTCAGTTAAAAAAAAAATGGAAACCAAATGAAAATGGAAACTAAATGAAAAGAGAAAATAAGGAGAAACGGAAATTAAAGAAAAACGAAAACTAAAATGGGGGGTTTTAATATGATTGTAAATTTAAACGGAAATGAAAAATAAAATAAAAAGAAAGAATAATCAAATTAAAAGCAACCAACCCAAGAATTAAGATTCCAAGGATATCCATCATTGGACAAATAATCACCAAATCGTGATTGATCTCAATTGAATCAGAATCCTTATTTCCAATTGAGAACCCTCTCTAAGCGATCGCTTAGCGTTTGGTCGAATACGACGCGTCTACTCGAGAAATCGCGGATTATCAACCCGTTCGACTTGAGTTCATTGGGTTAATCAACCTAATCATTAAATCTAATCGTTAATCTCTTTCCTAAGAACGCAATCGCGTATCTCAGATTGAACACCCACAATCGCGCGATGCCAAACCGAGTTGGAAAAAGAAACGTATTTGGTTCAAAATGAGGCGCAGGTCCTCAAGATTCAACCATGGAATCCTCAACCCTTGGGTTGATTAGAGAAAAGAGGAGAGAAAAGAGACGAAAATTATATTAATTTCAAAACTGTATAATTCAAACTCAAACGAAAGATTCTCCACAAGGTCCCTACTCTCGCCCTTTTAACCCCTAATCAAGCTGGGCTTCGGGCTCTACAAATCCAACCCAAAATAAAAGGAAACAAAACAGAAATAATGGCTCTGGGCCTCATGTACATTGGGTTCAAAATTATAACTTAAGTCCAAACGTCAAAATAAATTTCCAGCAAAACACGTCCATCTTGGGCTCAGGTTTCGACCATCTTCCCGTCCGAATTGGGCTTTAGTAGATGAAGTAGAGATTGTAGCCCTATCTGTTAGCTGAAAAATTCAACAAGAATGGAGTCAATCGGACATTTGTAGAGTGAGATATAGTCAAAATACAAAAATAGTGTAAATCTGGAAAATTATAACGAAAATCAATTAAACCCAATTAAAATCTAGAATTTTGATTTGACCCAAAAGACCTTTATTTAATTCAAATAAATCATAAAAATACCACCCAAGAGTAATAAATAAGTATAACAAAATATGTGTTATCACAGTGAAAAAAAAGGGGGCTCCAGGCCTGATTTAGCAAATTGTAGTAGATTTCAGCAGTTCCTAGATGCTTGCAGAATTGAGGATATTGGTGGCTTGGGTTCTAAATTTACTTGGCAGGTTCCTAAATGGCATAATTTAGACAGGGTCTATAAGAAGTTGGACAGGGTTTGTGCCAATGTTCTTTGGAGAATGTCTTTTGAAGATGCTGATGTAAGGATCTTACCTAGAATATTGTCTGATCATAATCCTTTGGTATTATCTATTCTAAAGCCTGTGAAGCAGTGGGTTACTAGGCCGTTTAGATTTCTGGCCACTTGGTTGAACCATCCATGTTTTGGTAGCTTTATGGATGTCAATTGGAATGCTAATCTTCCGGTTAATAGTATGTTGTTGAATCTTATCTTCCCTCTTAAGATTTAGAACCGAGAGATTTTTGGTGACATTATTAATCGTAAGACAGAGCTGACTCAAAAATTGCTAGAATCCAGGACCAAAGGGAGGCAATGGACAGTGCCAGGTTGAAGGATGCTGAGGATGTTTTACAAAGGCAATTGAATATTACTCTTCATCAAGAGGAGTTGTTATGGTACCAAAAATCTAGGCAGAAGTGGTTGACTGATGGGGATAAAAACACAAGGTTTTACCATCTTAAGACTATCAGGTGAGTGGGATTTTTACAAGTTGAATAGTTGGCTTCCTTTGAATATTGTTGACATTATTCACAGTATCTTACCTCCTACAGCCAATGATGGTTCTGATAATAGGATTTGGGGGATTCAAAAATCACATGCTGTGTCTGTTAGTGCTGTATATAATTATCTTTCTAACTATGAAGTTATGGATGATGCTATTAAGAAGACTTGGAGTAGGCTTTGTACTTGGAAGGGGCCTCAAAGAATAAAAATCTTCATGTGGAAGTTGCTTCATCAGAAACTCCTAACGAATAGTAATATGTCTATTTGGAATGGTGGTGATGGTTTATGCTCTTGTGGTATTGGTGAAGTTGAAACTATTATTCACGCTGTAAGGGATTGTCATAGGGCTAAAGTGGTTTGGGATTGTATTGTTCCATCTTCTTTTAGTGCTGGTTTCTTTAATTCGACAATTGATCACTGGTTTGATGATAATTTTAATGCTGAGCACATGGTTAGAAGCCATGGTAGTTGGCTGTCCATTTTCATGGTCACTTGTTGGAAGATTTGGAGCTGGAGGAACATGTTGAATTATGGTGAAGTGGTGCCTCCGGTTGAGAGTAAAGTAGATATTATTTTAAAATTTATTTCTGATCTTGAAACTGCTATTACAAATCAAAAGAACTATAATCTTGGTCCTCTTGTCAGCAACGTTACTGTTTCATGGACTTTTCCTGAAGGTTTTGTGAAGGTAAATACGGATGGTGCTTCCCGTGGTAATCCTGGTATGACAGCTTGTGGAGTTGTAATTAGGAGTTCACAAGGTATTTGGCTGGATGGTTTTGCCTAGAAGTTGGGATTTTGCTCTTCTTATAAAGCTGAACTATAGGGTATTCTGAGAGTTTTGGAGAGGGCTTGCAGCAATGGTTACAAGAAAATTATTTTAGAAATTGATTCGTTGTTGGCAATCACTGTGCTCACCAAAAGTGGTGCAGCAGTCCGTTAGGTGCAATTGGTCTCTCGTATACGGACGTGGCTTGGAAGGGATTGGCAGGTTCAACTCCATCACAACTTCAGGGAAGGCAACTCGTTCGCAGACTGGTTAGCTAACTTTATTTTAGATTCCTATGAGCAAGCTAACCAGAGCTTCTTTAGTCATCCACAACTTGGTGTTCAACATTTATACCTTGGTGATTTAGCTTCGGTAGGCATGGAGCGTGTTGTAGCTCTTCTTGGGTAGTTTTTTTCTATTTTTCTCTTGTTCTGTGAGGCTTTTAGCCTTTTTGTTTATAAAAAAGAGTGATCCTTATAAACCTTAACGTCTCACTTAGAGCATACATTTCTTGTTATCTAATTTATCATATTACTTACATTCTTGGCATAACATATCTTCTTAGCGATCCATTAACTAAGTTTCTCATTCCCTGCAACATTACTAAATTCATTAATTTCCCAGTCAATCGTTACACAGGCTTCACATTATACAATATCTCAATCAAGACAGTATAGGTAATTATGTCATATGTCCTATAATTGATATATCATAAGTACTCAGCACCATAAGCTTATGCACACTCTCTACAAAGTAAACAAGCTTATCGCAACATGGCATAGACAACCCCTATACTCATCACAGATGTAAACATAGCGTGATATGATAAATAATAGTCATGTCTCATATTAATATACAAATATCTTGTGAAAGCAATGCAACATGTTAGTATCTTTAGGTTGGCCTCTTGCCTCAAGATGCACCCACACTATAAGCCTCAACGCATGAAAAACATTTCCCAAATGGGGTGAGATGACAATCTCAGTAAACTGGGGTTCTTGAATGATCACTCCTCCTCAAGTTCACTTACAGGTATAATAAAGGCAACAGAATAATAAAATGCATAATGCCGGATATATAGCATGTAATATGTGCAATATCAATATCTACTGGCCAGAGACAAGTATGCAACATATTAAAAATATATGAGGATTCCCCTCATACCCTACACCCAGGGATGCAGCCTGTACATGCAGGATTCACTATCACATTTGCATATATATATATATATATATATATCAACACATTATGCCATAAATAATTTCCAAAGATATCAGATATTTATCAGTGCATAAATCATTTTTCAAAATATATCATGCACATAAACCAACCTCCCACAGAGTTTGGTGGAACAAACAAGGGATTAACTCTTAGAACCGAAAGCTTACCTTTATTAGCAACATACTTTAATGTACTCTCAGTATCCAAAGGACCACAACCATAGGCCCTCACAAAATCACAATCTATTGCAAAGATGTAAAGGCAATTAGCAAATATACTAGTTTACGACATTCATTTCATTATTGTCTTTTGCAAGTTCCGACACTTAAGGTTTTCTACAAAGCCATTAGTGAAATTATTCAATTATACCTTATACTCATTTCACAAGGGTCCAAACTGGTTTCTTAAGTTTCTATAACCTTAAAATATAACTTTCTAGCATAATAGAGTCAACAAGTCATTTCCTTAAAGAATAATCTGAACAAACTGACTCTATTTGGCGAATTCGGCACTAAATCGTGTTTACCATTTTTAAAATTGGTATTGCAACTCTTCACCAAAAATTATAATATTTTAATATATTAAACTAGACCTCTCAAGCTTTCAAACGACACATTATATGTCTCAATTGAAGTTGTATAACTCCATTTATGTCTTTTGCAAAGTGACTGCTACAAACTAGATTTTTAGGAGCAAGACAGTGACTTCAAACTCCAATTGAGATTAATTCACTTATCCAATGGATTCAAAATTTTATAGGTTTGTATCCCTATGTGTTAGCTTCACATAGTCTAAACCTCACTCAAGTTGGAGGTCTGTAGCTTGAGATATCATAATTTTACTAAACTAGGTTCGCTGTAATCGATTATTGTAATCGATTTCCAATTTCATCAGGATGTAATCAATTACATCACGAAGGGTAATCGATTACATCAGCAACAGGACGCGGAAAACCATATTTTAAAGTGCAATCGACTCTCAATGGTCTCCCGAACTTATTTAATCATTTAGTCAGTATATCAGCACATTCTAAACACTTAAACAACTTCAAGACTCAACTTTTAACTTAAATCACACCATCCATAATGAAAAACAAAGGAAAAGTTAAATTTTTTCACCTTTGAAGCCTCACACAAGAAGAACAAGATGATCCAAGTCTTCAACAATGGAAAGACCCCAACTTTAAGTTTCACCCAAGATGGGGTTTTTCTCTTTAAAACTCAAGGTTTAAGGTTGTTTCCAAGGTGAAGTGAGGAAAAATGAAGGTTTAATAAGTATTCAAGTTAGTTTCTTGAGAAAGAAAGGGAACCCTAGAGAGAAGAATAATTTTCTACCATGAGAGGGTTTGGGGTTGCTGTCTTAGGGTTTACTAAAGTGAAGAAATGAAATAAAGAGTGAAAAAAGTATGTCAAGGCTATCTTAAGTATGCTCACTTAACTTAATGGGTAATTACCCACCTAATCACTCATAAATTCTTCATCCAACTTAACATAAGTATTTTTGTTGTCATTTTAACTTCATAAAATTTATGAAATTATAGTCACCACTTTATTTCTGTGTTTCTCGGTAGTTTTGTCTACTGTAATTTTTACCGCGAAACACGCATTATTCTCACTTTTTACTGAAAAGTGATTTAATTTTAATAATTAAAATTTTCTTCTAATTAAATTATTTAGTTATTAAATAATTTCCTAAAATAACAATTTTATTTTCTTTAAGTTTACGGGTAATTTGCTTACTCGCAGTTTTATCCCAAAATCACACTGCTCACAATTTTCTCAAAAGGGTGATTTAATTTCAAATAATTAAATCTTCCATCTAATAATTCTCTTTTAATTATTAATTAATTTCTAAAATTTCGATTTAACTGTGCGAGTTTTTACATTCATCATAAGGGTCTTCGTGTAGCATTTTTATTTTAGACTCTGTGCATTGACAAATTAATTTGTTCTTTGCAAAAAAAAAAAAAACATTATTGAAGTAATAACAATCTTTCTTTTCTTTAACTTTACAAATTTATTTCCTTCGTATATTATAATTCTTTTTATTCTTTAATTTTGGTTCCTTTATTTCATAATTACTTCGTTAAGGATTAAAGCAAATTATTCTTCAAATTGTTAATCGTTTGCACAATTAACTTAAGGCAACCATATTTTAAATTAATGTATCAAGAGTGTAGTGGGATCAAGTTTCTATCCTTTTTTGTGCATAATTAGACTCTCAAATCCTAATTTAAATTTTTAAAAGATTAGTTTTGCTCAATAAAAAATATTTTTCAATTTTTTTAAATTAAATAAAATTATTGACCACTCCATATTTTCAACTTGATATATTTGGCTCATTACAATGACCTATCGATTAACCATATTTTCAACTTAATATATTTGGCTCCTTACAATGTTGTGAAAACTCGACCAAATCGGCCGGGTCGACCAAGAACTCGGTGAATCAGTCATTTGACCGGTCCGGATATTACATTGGAGTGGCTAAGTATCAGACCCAATGCGACCCAGTGCGACCCGGTCAGTTTTGGTAAAAATCGATGACCCGATCGATTATCCAATGACCCGACCGTGTTTATTTAAAAAAAAAAAAATCCCAAAAAAATTCATAATTGACATATTTGAGTGATTTATTACTTATTGATTTATATAAATTATGTACCTACCATACTAATATTATCTCAGTTATACATTATGCAGGAAATTTTGATTTATAATTTGAAATGTTTACTGAACTTGAAACACCAATATCACAAAGCATTATATGTTTGTTTGATCCTTTATTAGACAATAATGTATAATTTATTATTTTTTATATTAAAATATTTAGAATTTATATTATTTTTTTCAGCTATTTGAGTATTTTATAATTTTTTAATATAAATTATAAATTTAAATATAATCATTCCATTATGCGATTGAACCAATAAACCAGTCAACACTAATAATATAAGATTCCGGCCAAATCGATTAGCTGTCCGAATATAATATTACAGCATGGAAGTAACTTGTACCGCAAACAGCATTATTTTTGCCCCACATATATTTTATTTCTTTTGTAAGTATTTTTGCCCCATATCTTGGCAGAATGCATTATATTACTATATGAAGGAGTATATTTTGTGTGCAATAAGAATAGGTATTTCTTTAAAAAAAAAAAAAAAAATGATATAAAAAAAATAATCAATATATTCATATTATTTTTTTCATATTTGATAAAAATATATCGAGTGATCCTTACATCTATAGTACCAAAAATATTTTCTAAACGAGGATATACTCAATTTAGTGTGAAGGAAGGATGCGATAAACCGGCGTACTGTGTTTTGACATAATCATCATCATTCTTAATTCTTATTCTTATTTTTAATAAATTATTATTATTAATATATTATAATTATTATGAGTAGTAGTTCAGCATATCTACACGTTCTAGTAGCAAGAACCCCATAACGAGTTGTTAAACCAAGTTTTCCAAGTAAACCAGACTAAAGGAGATTCTGAATCAGTTGCAGCAACTTTCCCAGTATTACATTGATAATGATACACCTTGACTCGAGAATTTGAAGGATCAAGAGCATATAAATCATATCACTGACAGTAGAACTCAATTTTGTAGCTTCCCTTGCGGTCCTACCTTCACCTATGTCAATTGGCATTCCAGGCAACAAATTAAATTTGGACGAGAATGGAATCCGTGTACTTAGTCTTTCCCTTGCAATTTTGCAGAAAGAATGTTTTCTGGATTTGAACTCAGGACCTTTTGGAACACATAGCCTTCCCAAGTATGAAGTCAATCCTATGGCAATAGGTTTGAACAACTTAGCCAGAAAAGCAGCAAGTAGCAGTGTAGCACCTGGGTTTTTGCAGAAACCATGCTTTGTAATTGGGAGCATATGCTTGTCTGTTGGTCACATACATCAGCAGGTTGGTGGTGGGGGCTTAGTCCAATCCATTTTTGTCTTCAAAACCTTAAATTAAAACAAACACATAAATCAAGTCACTTTTTGTTTACCTCAACTGGGGGAAGATGGATGGTTCTTTAACTTGGTGGGGTAATATGTAAACAAGAAGGAAATTTCCCAAGATTTAAACCAAAAACCAGTTCCATAAACAGAATTATACAAGGAAAGTCAGTAATTACTGGTTCAATCTTTTTGTTTTTGGTAGTCTTAGTTGAATCTTTTAATTGTCTATTTTCCAGTCAATAAATTAAAATTTAACAAACGATACTCACTTTAAGCAACTGAAATTTAGGTCCACATATTTAGTATTTAATGACAACTAACCAAAAAAAAACTTAAACCATTAAGAAATCACAAATATCAACATTTGGATCTTAAATCTACAACACAACATGCTGAAGCTTTCACTAGAAAAACCAGTCAATTAATAACCTTTTGCAATTCAATGGAGGAATCTGAACTCAACGATATGTCAGAAGGCAAAGGATGACCAGCAATCACTTTAACTTCTGGCCCTACTTCCAGAATCTTTGAAGCATGAAAGCAACTGCAAAAAATGTTTCAGCACCATTTCTTGGGTGTAAGCTCTTGCATACTCCACACTCTCACCCAGAAAGAGAAGCTGATAGCAATTGGACTTCATTTTTAGTTTCTGTACAGATATGAATTATAAATATGCCAGAATCAAACATACTAAAGAAGCTAGTTACCCGGCCAAACAATAGTTCTCCAAGTACAAAATCAGCTGTGTCGTTGGGCACTCAGTGGCACCAAATATAAGCTTAGGAACCCATATTACATGTAACACATGTAAGATATGTTTGGTTCACCTTAGACCTGTCAAATATATGCAGAATTTAGTGAATATAAATCATCGGATAAGCAATGAAAATAGACAATAGGGTTTCTCTGTTAACAATAGACATACCAAGAATTTTGCTATTCCAAAGTAACATTGATTCAGCTGGTGGGTGCAGGTATTGATCTGTTATGAGAATACATGAAAACAGTCATGCATAAATTACTTGATCAGATAAGAAAGTAAATTCTAAGGTTCTTAAATTTTCAAAAAACAGAATTTCGACCTTTGGTACCAATAGAAAGTCCAACTCAGAAGACTTGATCAAATCACATCTCAAAAAGGATCATGTGATCAATTCAAGGTTTTAGCCAACACCAACCTCTATCTTGATGATGCGATGCCAATCCACTGGCTCTCTCAGGTCTGCTAAAACTTGCATTTTTATACAGAATATGTTATTTATTTTGTGAACTAACTATTACTATTATTAATCTGTTATTAGTTTTCTAACTGGTAGTTGCTATGTAATTAGAAGTCAGTTAGTTTGTTAGACTAACCATGTGTAGTTAGTTAGTTTGTTACACTAACCATGTGTAGTTAGCTAGTTTGTTAGACTAGTCACGTGTGTGACTATTTTATTTTTGGTCTTTTGCTTTCTGCATATATAAGCAGTGTACTCTGCATATTACAGAGTAGGTACAAACTCTACTGTAACACCTTTTCTGCTTTTCATCAATGAAGCTTTCTCACGCTTCCACATATACTGAGATGGTATCGAAGCCTCATAGAGGGCTCTGATATTCGCCATCTTTCTTCTTTCCTTCTTAGATCTGTTTTCTTTCTTTCCATAGATCTTCTTCTGAATCAAGGTGTTTTAATATTTTTTTTGGATGGCGAATCAGAGTCCTCCGCATGTTATGGATCAGGTTATTGATGAACCTGAGATTCAAGGAAATGCTTCGAATGCTGCAAATATGAGAAATGAAGATAAGAATTGTGTTCAAGATCTATCAGATCAAGGTAATGCATATTTTCTACATCCAAATGAAAATCCGTCTCTTGTTCTTGTCTCCACACCGATGAACGGCAAGAACTACCATGCATGGGCTAGAGCCATGACCATGGCATTGATTTCTAAGAATAAAATTGGTTTTGTGAATGGTTCGATTCCTGTTCCAGTGGATTCTGATAAGAATTATTCTGCTTGGGAGAGATGCAACACCATGGTGCTGTCATGGTTGCATCGATCTATTACTGATTCTATCTCTCAATCAATATTGTGGATGGATAGAGCTGTTGATGTGTGGAAAGACCTCAAGGAGAGGTTTTCTCAGTCAGATATCTTTCGCATTTCTGACTTGCAGGATGAGATTTTTCGTCATCAAGGAGACAAATCGATATCAGATTACTATACCCAGCTCAAGATCCTTTGGGATGAGTTGGAGAATTTACACCCTACACCTTCATGCAAATGCATTCGGCCATGCTGCACTATTGCCTCAGAAGTGAGGAATAGCAAAGATAGAGATTATTCGATTAGATTTCTAAAGGGACTCAATGAGCAATATTCTCATGTGAGGTCCCAAATCATGCTTATGGATCCTCTTCCATCAATTAATAGAGTGTTCTCATTGGTTACTCAACAGGAAAGACAAATGCATATTGAAGGCATTTTGTCTAATTCTGTAGATGGAATTTCAAAAGTGTTCTATAATTCTTCTACAGAACACAATATGACAAGAGGAGGTCGTTTTAATGGTAGAGGAAGAGGAAGAGGAAGAGGATATTATAATGGGCGTGGCAGATCATCTACTAGGCTATGTACATACTGTGGGAAGACTAGCCATACTATTGACACATGCTTTGAGAAGCATGGATATCCACCTGGATATAAGATGAGAAGTGGACCAAATGTACTAAATGGATCAAATGGACCTAAGTCAGCTAATGCTGTGATTCAAGATACCTCAGATATTGCTGGTGATCAGAATAATGTTGTCACTCATCAAGAGAGCAAGGGAAGTTTTACGAAGAATCAGTATGATGCTATTTTTGAAATGATTCAGCACACTTTGCAACATCAACAGCAAGACAATTCTCCTCATGTGAGCAACATAGTGCAGGCAAGAGCACTCAATACCGAAATGAAGATGGGAAATGTTGAAACAGCTTCTTCAAGTAATGTTCACACACAATGGATCCTAGACACAGGAGCTACTGACCACATAACTCATTGCTTGACCAACTTATGTTCAATACAAAAGATTGCACCAATAGCTATTTCTCTACCTAATGGTAGCCAGGTTCAATCTCACTATTCAGGAACTGTACACTTGTCCATTACACTTTTTCTTAGGTATGGAAGTGGCACGTTCTAAAAAGGGATTGATTTTGAATCAACGAAAATATGTCCTTGAAATGTTAGCTGAAAATGGCTTACTAGGTGCTAAGCCTGCCTCTTCTCCTATGGAATCATCTTTACGGCTTAGACAGAAAGAGGGAGAGCTGTTTCATGACCCTTTTGCATACAGAAGATTGGTGGGACGTCTTTTGTATCTTACAAATACGAGACCAGATATTTCTTTTGCTATACAACAACTTAGTCAATTTGTTGCTACTCCAATGAAGGCTCATCATGATGCAGCTTGTAGAGTTCTTCGGTATTTAAAGGCCTCCCCATCTAAGGGTCTCTTCTTTCCTGCTGAGAACTCTCTTATTCCTTCTGGATTTGCTGATGCCGATTGGGCTACATGCCCTGATACATGCAAATCAACCACTGGTTTCTGCATTTTCATTGGAGATTCTCTTGTTTCTTGGAAGTCAAAGAAGCAAAGTACAGTTTCAAGGTCCTCTGCAGAAGCAGAATATAGAGCTCTAGCAACTGTCACATGTGAGCTTCAATGGCTTTCTTACTTTCTTCATGATCTCCAAGTGCCTATGACTAAGCCTGCTAATGTGTTTTGTGACAACCAGGCTGCCATCCATCTTGCTCACAACCCTTCTTTTCATGAGCGTAGTAAACACATTGAACTTGATTGTCATGTCACTAGAGAGAAGATTGTGGCTGGTTTGATACATTTGTTGCCTGTGTCTACTACTCAACAGCTTGCTGATGTCTTCACAAAGGCCCTCCAACCAGCTCCCTTTCATGATTTTATCTCCAAGTTGGGGTTACTTGACATCCACCTTCCAACTTGAGGGGGGGTGATACAGAATATGTTATTTATTCTGTGAACTAACTATTACTATTATTAATCTGTTATTAGTTTTCTAACTGGTAGTTGCTATGTAATTAGAAGTCAGTTAGTTTGTTAGACTAACCATGTGTAGTTAGTTAGTTTGTTACACTAACCGTGTGTAGTTAGCTAGTTTGTTAGACTAGTCACGTGTGTGACTATTTTATTTTTGGTCTTTTGCTTTCTGCATATATAAGCAGTGTACTCTGCATATTACAGAGTAGGTACAAACTCTACTGTAACACCTTTTCTGCTTTTCATCAATGAAGCTTTCTCACGCTTCCACATATACTGAGACATTCTTTCATCATTACACTGGTTTCCTACATAAATTCATAATAGAGCTATCATTGTGTGAAAACTGAAAACACCAAGGAGTGATGGCAAAAAATAAAAAAAAGACTCTATTTAGTTACTCACCTGGAATCTCATATGAACACTTGCCTATTGATAACTATGCATGGAATGTGAGCAATCTTAGGCCACTCTTTCCCTCCATTGCTATGACAACTTGCTTCTAATAATGGACAGCTGTTGATGGTTAATAGTGATAGAGAGGAAGGCAGTCCCTCTTCAGGCAAAGATTCAAGTCGGTGACAGGATGAAATTTCAAGTTCTTCAAGAGAGGTGAGATGCTGAAGCCACTTCCCATCCAAGCATTTTATATCACAAAGATTGTAGATGACTAGGGACACAAGAGAAGTAGGCAGCAATGGCACTTTCATTTTCATTAGCGCGTTTGAAAGATCATCACCTCCAATATACAACTCTGAAAGACAAGTGAGTCGTTGCAAACCCCACTCACTGATAGCTGTAGTCCAGGAACTCCCAAGACTACAGACAATAAACATGCGTAAATTGATAGGCAAACCTTCTTTTGCAAAAGACTCAAGATTTGGAAGGCTATCAATATTCAATCCTCGAAGAGCAGCAAGAGTGTTAATTGGTTCAGGCAGTGAAGTAAGCTTGACACAATTCAACACTTGTAAATCAGTGAGGTTAGGAGTACGCAATCCCCCCCGCAGGAAATGACTCTAGTTCAGGACAATCACATATACTCAAACGTTGAAGATGTGAGAGACTCTGGAAAGCATTTTCTTCAATCAGAATTGATTTTAGACTTTTACAACTCATAATGCTAAGACTTTTGAGCACAGGAAGACAGCCTAAGGTGAATGATGCCAGTGAATAACAGCTATTGCGAATTTCCAACTCCTCAAGTGATGTGTAATTGCACAAGGATTCATGAGGAAGGAATTCCAGTTTCTCACAATTGTATAAAGTGAGAAATCGCAACACTGTGGGAAGACCATCTACTGGGAGGGATGCCGGTGATGGAATGCCGGAGATAGTTAAGTCTACAATGAAATTAGTGCACTTAAGCACAATTGAGGGATGAAGGTTTCTTGGTAAGTTTTCTATGAGTTTGGGACAGAACACTGGCAACAAGAAAGAACAGTTTGAGAAATAAAAAAATGTTGAGGAAGGAAGTTTGTTGAGTAAGGTTCCTTTGAGTTTGGGACAATCCTTCAGAGATAGATGTGATAGACTAGGAAACTCTATAGCTGTACCTCCAATCAAGTTCCATTCCTCCCACCCTGGCATGTTCTCAAAGCTCAGAATCTCCAAGGAGGGAAATGACTGAAATGAAGGGGAACAACTTCCGTAAAATTCAGTACCAACGGTCTTCACAGACTTCATCCCAGAAATGAAGAGTTCTTGGAGATGAGGCAATTGTCCAAGGGGTGGCAGTGACCAACAATGATCACAACCACTGATGCACAAGTACACCATGTTACCAAATGAGGAATCACCCAACCAACTTGGAAAGCTGGTTCCACCATAGAATTTAATGGTCAGCTTCTTCAAATTTGTTGGAGGCTGCAGCTGTTCAAGTACAAGCCTTTCAATTTGTGTGTCTTCCGTAGTACCACAATCCCATTCCAATGCCAACTCGTCTATTAGTTCTTTTTTCCTCAAATTGGCTTGAAAAGCCTCACATGGGTCAATTACATTTTGTAGCTTTGAAATGCAAAGTTTCCCCTTTAGATGGGGAATTTTTTTTAACTCTCCAACCTTCAATCCATCCTGCAGTTTGCTGACAACAAAAGCAGACAAGGTTTGAAGATTTTGTAGTCTGGCTATTTGTGCAGGCATCTTCTTCAATTTAGTGCCACTAATGTCAAGGTGTCGTAGATTAACCAAATTTCCCATGTCCTCAGGCAATTCAGCGAGTGACCAACATTTGGACAACAACAAGGTCTGCAGATTGTAGAGCTTGCATGTTGCTTCTGGTAACCTTTGAATTTTAGTGTTAGAAAGATCTAAGTATCGCAGGTGAATTAAATTTCCAATATGGTCAGGAAGCTCAGTGATATTATAATAGTGTGACAAGGACAACACCCGTAACTGTTTCATTGCTGGTAACAAGTCATGAACCACCTTGTTTGATAAGTAATGGGATGCAAAATGACCACTTTTTAACCACCATCCTAGATTTAATGGTAAGCCTATGAACGTACGTAGACCTTTTGATTGATAAAAGCAATCAAATTTGTTGAAAGAGTCATAGCTCCCTTTGTTGTATGACAAATGACGAACTCTTTCAACACTTTTAGGTGACTTTGGATGCTCGTACCTGATACAATATGAAGATGAAATCATTGTGGCTAAATCATTAACGAGGTCATGCATCTTAAAGTCTGCTTGCTCATTCAATGACCCTCGAAGTATCAATGACCTTGATACGAGTTCATCAAAGTATTCATCACCTACTTCTTCCATGGTTTTCTCACTTCTAGGCTGATGTACTAAGCCTTCTGCAATCCATAGCTGAACTACCCTCTTTTTTTCTAACTCGGAGTTCTTTGGAAAAATTGAACAATAAGCAAAGTATTGTTTTAAAGGAGCAGGGAGATAATGATAGCTCAACAGAAGAGCTGGTAGCACCTTAACATTCGGCAAATCCCAAATGTTACTTTTTAATACCTTGTTCCAGTAATTTTCTGATAAATTGGTGCGAAGGAGACCCGCAAGTGCCACTGCAGCTAATGGTAAGCCATCACATTTTTTAGCAATTTCTTTACCAATTACTTCTAGGTTGGACACTCTGCTGCAATTATTTGCTCCAAATGCATGTTTAGCAAGTAAAGACCAGCAATCTTCAACAGCCAGAGATGTCAGATGGTAGATAGGAAAAGAGGTTTGCATGGCTTTAGCAAAACTTTCATCTCGTGTTGTGATGATGATCTTACTTCCCATTTCCGCAGCACTAAAAATTTCCATTAAATTGTTCCAATCAACATAGTTCCCATCCCATATGTCGTCCAATACAAGCAAAAATCTTTTATGGCTTAAGCTTTGCTGCAATTTCACTTGAAGAATATTCAGGTTATCTGTATTTGCTGGTTTTAAAGTGACAGATTCAAGAATGGTTTTAGTAACCCTGCAAACATCAAAATCTTTTGAAATATATGCCCACGCTTTTAGATCAAATTTCTCTTTCACTCTATCATCGTTGTAAAGGAGTTTAGCGAGGGTTGTTTTACCAGGCCCTCCATGCCCACAATGGAAATCACTCCTATTTTACAGTCACCGGCATCTTGTGAAAGTAGATAATCTTTAAGTCTGTTTTTCTCATCATCTCTTCCATAAATAGAAGATTCATCTACCACACTACTTGTAGGAGTTCCATGCCAAACACTGCTTCTTTCAGTTGAAGGATGTCTTTTTGCAGTGCAAATTGTTCTAACCTCTGAAACAATGCTAGTATTTTTGAATGGATCAACCCTGAAAACCGTTTGAAAGGAGAAGAAAGGAAGTTCCGCACCTGATCACTAATGGTTTGACTTTGAGACTCAGCTTCCAGTTTGCATCGCAAAGCCTCAGTGTTGATTTCATCCAACAAATCATCAGCATCAAAGACAGCATGTGTGAGCTCTTGTAGCCATTCCTTGACTGCAGGATTAGTAATCTGTTTCTCTTCAGCATCATTTAATACAGCTTGAAGACTCAACAGTGATATTTTCAGCTTTTTAAGGAGTGAGACATCAAGCTCCTTGCTATGAAAGAAATCTAGGAACTCAAGGGAAATGAACCTGTCTAACAGCACCTCCACAGAAGCTGAGAGGAATGCTTCTCCCACAAAAGCTGCAGCCATGTGTTCCTTACTTCCTTCAATTCAATACAATGCTAAAATGCAGAATGCCAGAATTGGTTAACAAGAAAAGCACTTTAAAGCAGTGTGAAAGTAAAGTATGCTTATTCAACCAAAAAAATAAGAAAATAAAAAAGAGAGTAAAGTATGCTTCTCTCTGACTTTTATGTATTAGGTGTACAATTATTACTCCAATGACTCATTCATACACGGCACCCCAAAAGAAAAAGAAAAAGAAAGAAACTTGCAAGTTGATCAAAAGTCAATGGAAATCATTCAAAAGAAAAACAAAGCAAAAATGAAAGAAAAGGACTTGGCTTTTGACATTAGGGGGTGTTTCGTACAGGAGAAATTTTTTGGTGACCGGGAATCATGATTAATGGGAATTCAGTAGAAATTGAGTTTAATTGGAATCTTACGAAAGATGTGTTTGGTTCGCCAAAATATTACCGGAAATATTGGGTAAAAATTATTGATTCCATATTTGGTTTAGAACGAAATATGACTTGGAATATGAGGTTATTTTACAAAAATAACCCCAAACTATTTTTACTTTTGTAATTGATAGATTGGGTCTAGATTTTTATGTGTATTGGGATATTTTTGTCTCAAAATTTATTATTGTGTTTTCCCTTTACTTGGTATTCTGATTGGTATTCCGAATTACCATATTATTTTTGGTAATCTGAATAGTGACTTTTCTTTATAAATCAAATTACCGGTAATCCTTGGATATCCGGGAATCGTAATTTATTCCTTCTACCAAACGTGGTAATTACATTTACCAAAGAAGGATTACCGGTAATCCTCTCCAAAAACTTGAACCAAACACCCCTAGAGCTAAAATGGGACCCCAATATTTACTGCCTTCCACTTCATTGTAATTGATTTCTGGTTACCTAGATGCAGTGTGAGATGATCCAAAGTCAATCAAAATAAACCAAAAAAATAAATAAATAAAAATACTAGAATATTATGTGATTATATTTGTTGCTGTAAATAGTATAGAAGTCCCACATTGTGTATATGTCGTTGTATTTCTTATTTGGTTTAATATATAAATGAAATCTCCTTCGTGTAGTTGACACAAGGATTACAATGAATACCTCTTGTCTCTTGGTAATTAACATGGTATCTAGAGCCTAACAAGAAGAATCCTAATCCGCGTTTTTTTCGGTGGGCCACTGTCCGCTGAGTAATATTTTTTTTTTTCCGAAAACAGTCATATCTGTCAATTTCCGGCTTCCCTATTTTGTTTACGAACCTGTCTGAGCACTGCCGCTGTCCAGAACCACCGTTGACCGCCGCCCGCCGCCGTTGACCACCGTCCCCGGCGAATTTTTCGGCGACTTTTCCGGCGAAACACCCATCGATCTGACCGCCACAACAAGGCGGTCCTTTCTGTCCAGGATCCATCTCCGAACTCTCAGCCACGCGCTCTCACGCGCGTGAGGAAGCTGCTGCCGTCCGCTCCCTTGCAGCTCCGCGTGGAGGCGCGTGCAGCTTCGGCTGGACTTCCGACCTCCATGGTTCAACTCGTCTCCTCCTTGCGCACCTGGATCTGTCCTCGCTTTGTTGTTCCGACTTCGTTTCGGCTTCCGACAGTGTCTTTTCTCTTGCTGGTCACTATTCACGCGTGTTTCTTTGCTTTTCGTTGCTGTTCATTTTTGTTTCAGGTGACCTATGGCTGATTTGTCACCCCACGATGCATCCAAGGGTTCTCAAAAGGCTGACCCGCCTATTTTTTCTAATTATGTTAATGTTCCGTTGCACGTCGACAAGTTGGATGGCTCCAATTATGATTCTTGGGCTTCTGATCTCCGACTTTGGCTTGATGGACAGGACTACACTGACCATCTCATTACTAAGGCTGAGTCCATCTCGGTAGATGTACGCCCTCATTGGAAAAAGATTGATGCTCAGTTATGTAACATCATCAAGTCTACCATCCACCCGTCCTTGAAGCAGATTTTTCGTGCTCATGTCACTTGTGAGTCTGTTTGGCGTCAGACCAAGTCACTTTATACCAATGACACTCAGCGACTCTATGGTGTTTGTCAAAATTTGATCACTACTATTGCTGCTCAACAACTTGATGTTTCTATGTCTGCTTACTTGGGAAAAGTTCAGGGCCTCCTTCATGATTTCAATGAACTGTTGCCGCCTGCTGCAGATCCTGCTAAAGAACTTGAGCAACGCAGCACGTTCTTCATGCTCATGGCTCTTTATGGTTTGCCCCCAGAATACTCTATCAACCGGGATCAGATCTTGGGCTCTACTACTGTTCCATCGCTGAACTCTGTTTGGTCTACGTTGCTTCGCATTCCACCTAAGACTTCTATGGAGCCTGCAGTATCTGCTCCTTCTTCAATTGACCCATCTTCCCTTGTCTCCAAGGGTTATGCACGTGGACGCAAACCCTCTACGAGACGCTTTCCCTGCACTCATTGCAACAAGTCAGGCCATACTATTGATCGTTGCTGGGATTTTCACGGTCGCCCTCCTCGCTCCGCTCATTTTGCTCAGAGTGTTTCTCCTGCCTCGGACTCTGCTTTGATTGCTGGACCACAGCCACCTCCGTCTGTTCTCACTGACTTCTTGCAATGGTATGAAGGGAAGCGTCCTCCTGGTACCACTACCTCTGGTGCACACACGGGTAATTCTTTTGCTGGTGTTTCTCACTCGCCCTCTCTTGGTCCATGGATTCTCGATTCTGGTGTATCTGACCATATTTCTGGTAATAAGTCTTTATTTACCTCTCTCTGTACGTCTGGTCCCCTGCCCAGTATCACTATGGCTAATGGGTCACTGGTTCAGTTTCAAGGGATTGGCATTGTTCTCCTTTTTCCTTCTATTCCCATTAAGAATGTGCTTTATGTTCCTCTTTCTCCTTTCAACCTTATTTTCATTAGTCGCTTGACTTAATCCCTTGACTGTATTATTTCTTTCACTAAAGAGTCTGTCATTTTGCAGGATCGGAGCTCGAGGAGGACAATTGGCGTCAGATCTGAGTCCAATGGCCTTTATCAGCTTTCAACTTCTGTCCCAGTGTGCTCTGTTGTGGATTCTCCGCTTACTATCCACGCTCAGTTGGGTCATCCAAGTCTTGCTAAGCTCTAGAAGATGGTCCCACGTTTCTCAAATTTATCTAGTTTGTCTTGTGAGTCATGTCAGTTAAGGAAGCACATTCGTAGTTCGTTTCCCGATCGTGTCAGTCGTCGGTCTTCGCCTCCTTTTGCTTTAGTTCATTCAGATATTTGGGGTCCTAGTCGTACCGTTTCCATTATAGGGTACATATATTTTGTAACTTTCATTGATGATTATTCTCGATGTACTTGGTTATTTTTAATGAAAAATCGGTCTGAATTGTTTTCTATTTTCAACAAGTTCTTTAATGAAATCCTTACTCAATTTGGTGTTTCGATTCGCATTTTTCGAAGTGATAATGCTCGTGAATATTTGTCTCATCAGTTTCAAACCTTCTTTGCATCTCACGGCATCCTTCACCAGACATCATGTTCACACACCCCTCAACAAAATGGAGTTGCTGAACGCAAGAACCGTCACCTAATTGAGACTACTCGGACACTTTTGTTACATGGTCATATCCCCTTCCAGTATTGGGGCGATGCTGTCCTCACAGCTTGTTTTCTCATTAATCGCATGCCTTCCTCCGTACTTAATAACCAGGTACCACATTCTGTGTTATTTCCCCATCAACCTTTGTACCCACTCACGCCTCACATATTTGGTTCTACTTGTTTTGTCCACAATCTCAGTCCTGGTCTTGACAAGTTATCTGCTAAGTCACATAAATGTATTTTCCTGGGTTACCCTCGCTCACAAAAAGGTTATCGTTGTTACTCTCCCAGTCTTCGTCGTTACTTTGTCTCGGCGGATGTTACATTCTTTGAGTCTATCCCATTCTTTGACTCCTCCTCCTTTCCCAGTGATTCTGTTGCTACTCAGCTACCTTTACCCCCTGTTTCAGTTTAATATATACCTTCACCATCTCCTTCTTTAGATGTCCCCGTCCATGTTCCCGTCCCTGTTCCCCCCTCTAGGTCTATCATCGTCAGCAACGTCCACCTGTTCCCCAGGACCCTGCCCCCCAAGATCCTGCCCCTATTGTTACTGAGGCTCCTGCGGTCTCACTTCCTTCATCATCTCCTCCGGCAGCTCTGATCCTTCCGTTTGACATTGATGTACCTATTGCACTCCAAAAAGGTACTCGTGATTCTCGTCCCCCTCTCAGGTATTTAATAAATTTGAGTTATCATCGTCTTTCACCATCCCATTTTGCTTGCCTCTCTTCTCTTTCTTCTGTATCTGTTCCTAAGACTACAGGTGAGGCGTTATCATATTCTGGATGGCGACAGGCCATGATTGATGAGATGAGTGCACTTCAGAGCAGTGGTACCTGGGATCTGTTTCCCCTTCCCTCCGGGAAGTCTGTTGTTGGCTGTCGATGGATATACACGGTTAAAGTTGGTCCTGATAGTCAGGTGGACCGTCTCAAGGCCCGCTTGGTGGCTAAAGGTTATACTCAGTATTTGGCTTTGACTATGGTGACACATTTTCTCCCGTGGCGAAAATGACTTTTGTTCGCCTCTTTATTACTATGGCAACCATTCATCACTGGCCTATGTATCAGCTGGACATAAAGAATGCTTTCCTCCATGGTGATCTGCGGGAAAAGGTTTATATGGAGCAACCTCATGGGTTTGTTGCTCAGGGGGAGTCTAACCTAGTTTGTCGTCTCTAGAAATCCTTGTATGGTCTCAAGCAGTCTCCTCGGGCTTGGTTTGGAAGGTTTAACACTGTTGTACAGCAGTTTGGCATGACTCGAAGTGAGACTGATCACTCAGTCTTTTATAGACACTCTGATTCAGGTTCTATTTATTTGGTAGTATATGTTGATGATATCGTCATTACAGGTAATGATACTCATGGCATAACTCAGATAAAACAACATTTGTGCCATCATTTTCAAACAAAGGACC